CATCCCGGCGTGGCCCACGCCCAGTTCACTGACTCGGCTGCAAGAGAGCATTTGCGACACTCCTCACAGACCTCACAGACGGAGTGTGGCTTCCAACAGAGCTCCAGACGCTCAACACATGACCACCAGATACGAGGGAGAAGCTGTGAAAGCTGGAAAACGGAACCACTATTTGTTGCACTGGAAACGCTAATTTTAGAAGTGCAAGCGAGGGTACTTTAAGTAGGTGAACCACGCACTATCTGGCCAGTTTGTTGAAAAGTGCCGGACATTTCGATCGCGTCTTTAAGGCAACCATTGTCGTCTGGGAACTAGAGCTGCCGGTCTCTGAACCCGCGCTCAGAGTGTGAGTAGGCCATCGGCAACACATCAGCAGCTGCGGATGATTCTGGACTTTGGTGAACAGCGTTCGTGTTCAGTCCGCTCTCGCGAAGACGTTTTTGAAGGCAGTTGAACGTTGATTGTAAACAGAAAAAATACAAAAGCTCAAATATCTTTACCATGAATAGATACATTAATATCTGTTTTATACATATTACAAACTTTTCAAAATTCACACTTCGAATTGAACATCCCGGGGTATTAATGACACCATTCGCGACAACAGCGTCATTAGTGCATTCTTCATGTGGTTTGATGTAAGTAAGAAAGGTCTGGAGCCCCTGGTTTTAGACGTTATGAGTGCAGAGTTCTTATGCGGACAGCTATCGACCTTGCATGTACCAGGAAGTGTTGGTTGAACGATGTTATCAAGCAAACACAGGTCATGCGGTCAATATCCGGCCCTTCAAGTTGTGCTCAGGGTTATGAGTAATGCATGTGGCAATAATTCTGCGATGTTTATCATTAGCCTTGTGGTTGCCAGTGCTGCATTCCTCAATAACAGCCCCTATCTTCGGACCCTGTAATACGACAGCATCCATAGCTGCGCTATTAAAAAGACGACTTTCATAAAACTGAGTTATAATATTTACTCGGTTGCACATCAACATTGGCTATGCCGACGCCCTTTAATGTCGCAGCTGATTGTTTCGTCCTAATATAACTGAACTTTTACGACTTTTGGTTGCCCGATCCCTTCACGCACCACAAGCCTTATAGAGAACGCTTTGTGTTGTCTTCTTTAGCATATTCAGCTCAACGATGAGTGCCGTTTTCTTCAGAAATACTGCCATTGCACTTCCATGCGTGACATCATAGCATACAACTCAGTAAGCAATTTAAAACGTCCCCGTAAAATTTTTAATCGGCCTCCGTTCCCCTACCAGAGGAATTCTACACGTGCTTCAACGAACCACCGAGCAGGCGCCAGCAAATCAACGAGAGCGCACGGGGCCGTAGCTCCAGGGTATGACGTCACGTGTCTGGGGTCGGACGGGGATCTCCGGGAACTTGTTGCCTCAGCATGCCTGGACCGAGGGCTGGGCCGGCTGCGCGCGAGTAACGACCCTCTGCCTCCCCTTCTCCTGACAGGGTGACATCATCAGTTACTGACAGCATCATGTCATCTATCACGGACAATCTCATTTCATCTGTCACTTACAGGCTGACAGTTACTGCTACGCAATGTTATATCACCCGTCACCGACATCAGGATGATTAAAAGTCCACTGAATCCCAAACTGACGTGCCGCTGTACCGCTACACTAACGTTGGCCGTCCCAGTGACGATCAGCGGGCTTCGCCTTCATGGAGACTTCCACAGAAGTCACTAGCACTCCCAAAAGCTGCACCAGCAGTTGACACTGTCTAAGCGTGACGAGGTGATGGAATGTAGGGCATTGCACTGCTGTTGCGTTTGCTAGATGTTCCCATATTGAAACGAAAATAGGTGAGCGGATGAACATGTGTGGCGTTCTTATGAACAAAGGTCTGAAGGCCACAAATGATCGTAGTCGGTTCTGAAATGCTTCAACGGCTTTAAACATGTACATCCTTCTATAGGCCTCCGCCGATATTAAACTTTTGGATACACCTTCTACAAATCTGCCTAAAAAAAAACACATAGAAGTCGAGATCCATCTCCCGTATTCGGGCAAGCCGCACCCTTTCGCTGGACGCAGCTGGCCAACACATGTGCGCCTTCGAACTCAGTGACCTTAGGCAATGACATTCAAACAAGACGACACGACGTTAATCCGGGATTGTATCTGATTTCCGTGGTGTTAATCCTGAGCACTCCTTAATGAAAAGATCAGGGGTTATTGATGGTGCCTTGCATGCGACGTGATCCTGTCTCAAGGTTAAGAATCTTTTAAACATTTTTCCGTGCTTTCAGACGATGGTAATCTTGTTCTAAAAAATTTCGACTGACTGACGTAAATTTCTTTCGTTCATCAAGCTCAACCCAATCAGGAGTCCACCACACGTGCAGCACCATCTGATGACACTTCATTTGATGGCAGTTCGGGGTTTGCTCATTACTGGAGTACTGCCAACACCACGACACATCTATTCATCTCTGATGCGTATTCTTGCTGACATTTCTGATGACAGCGTCCAAGGGCATGCAGATTCATACATTTATAAATTGATGAGAATATAACGTACATTTCGATTTAAGGCATGTGCTGCTCTGCGAAAGATGCTGGAGTGTGAATCGGCACAACATGACAATGATTTGGCTACTTGGTGATATGCAGTGGTTTGTTTATAGCTGCATGTGACACCAAAATTAGTGTTGAATATATACGCAACATGCACTTTGTTTTGATAAAGGCGACATAATTAAAAACCAAAATTGTCGTTAGTAAAAAAACCGGACTCAATCCCTTAATCGAGCAAATGTAGGAGTGTGGGGGGGGGGGGGGGGGGTTGGATCGACAGGTCCTCGGCTTAGCACCTCGCCCTAATTATTTACAAAAATTGACGCCCATCCAAACAACTGAACGCATGCATGCACGCATTTTTTTCAGGGCCCTCAAAGCACGTTTTATCAAGCTTAGCTCTCGAAACTAAGAATCTAATGTTGATACTGCTTTGTTGATTAGTGCTTGTGCATCCGTTTTCCACCAGATCTTCAAGGCTAAAGAAAATCAGCATTAAGCCATGGAGTGCCACCCGGCGTGATTGACACAGCCTTCTCTGCGTTCTTTGGCCGTTTTAAGCTTTTGATCTGGTATTCTAGCCAGCGTCCAAACAAGCAAGGGCAAAGTTACACCTACTCTGTTTTGGTGCTTTCCCTTTCTATCACTTCCTTTTCAGCGCGCTTTCTGGCGCATGACACAGTTTAACTAAAGGTCCCACTGCTGCATACACAGATCGTCCAGGGCTCACAAACACATCGTGTCTTTTTCATTTCCGGGTCAAGGCTTAGCACTGAAAGTGCAGTATTACGATACATATTAACACCAAGGCATCCGACATCACACGATATCGGAAATAAGCCACACGCCGCATGACTCATGTTCAATGACTGTGCTGTTGCTATCTATGGCCTGGCGCTGGAAGCAGGCGTTACTCATGGTGTTATTTGTACTCCAATATATATGTTGCACAAGCTGCGGTCAAATTAAGCAGTTTTAGATGTCTTGACAAGACGGGATATCAGCTTAACGCAATGTGGGAGAATGGGTGCTGAGTTTAGTGCGACAAGCACCATCCTTGCCACCAGCATCGTGACGTCAAAGTGGGGCGATCAAACAGAGATCTGCACATGGTATTCAAATACAGATGATGGGGGAAGGGAAGGTTGATGAATTAATTATGCCTAGGAAGAACGTTGAGCAGTTGTGTAGATCCTGAGGCGAGCAGGAAGCTTTGCTATTGTAAACGGTTTGACAGCCTCAGCAGGTCGCAACCACAACACAACTTGCTATGAGTCGAGCTCAGTGACGTTTCATTAGATCCGATCTGTTTGGTGTGTGGCTGATAGGTTCGGTGGGGTTTCGTGCACGGCATATGGCATGTCCACCGTGGTTTTCTTCGGCATCCAACATAATAACCTGCGATGCTTATCACGCGACTTTTGTATGAGACAATTTTATGTATTGGGATGCCCATGATACAAACCAGTTGTAATCCTTGAACCGTGGGTTGCCAGTAGGTGAAAAAGCCTCCTTCCTCCACACATATGAATTTTAACAGAAGGCGCAACGGTCTGAGGCAATCTAAAATCTAAAAATCTAAAAAAGCTATCGGTAATGCCATCCCCACTGACGCGTCAAAGGCGTTTCCGTGCACCGACCTTCGTCGTTGACACTAAACCGCCGCTATCTGTCCGATCTGCGACGATCGCGACGTGATGGGGGCCAGCCAGGGGTCGGGAGCGGCAATCCGACGACAGGCGTCAGGCGGGGTCGGACGGGACAGACAACCCTCTAGCAAACGCTCAAGTCCGGTGGGCGGCGCTCGTGAAGTCGCTCTAGGGCCAGTCCCACCGGCTGATGCGATTATGATTGAGCGGATAATCTTACCACTCGTTATATGGGTGTGTTTTTGTTATGTAAGCCCGCGTGAGTTATCGTGTTTTGGAGGAGTTGCGCCGGGCGCGCCGCTCGTTGCTCACACACACACGGCGGTGCGTCCGGCACAAATTATCTCAGAACGTTAAGATAGCGTTCACTATGATGCTCATTTGCAACCTGTCCCCTTAACCCAGCGATACAGGATGTTGTTAAGAACATACGATGCATTGATTTATACCACGCATAATATATATATATATATATATATATATATATATATATATATATATATATATGTATACATAAATGAAGCGACTGCATGTTCAAGTATATATCAGGTACAATAAATGCAGTGGCGTTCATCGAACAAAGAAGCATGCGATAGAACGCCAGGTTGTACCAACCAACCGCAGTCCTTCGTCCGTTTCTGCGAGTGAATGCACAACGCTGTACCGCACCTCTTTGCCTGAGTCAGCTCGCCTTTAACCGCGGAGGCACCGTGGGAACTAGTACGAATTAACGTTGACATTAGCGGCTGTATCTTACCAAGACTAGCGATCAGCATGTGCATGCGTGATTCAGTGCTGCACTTACCTGTAACGGTCCCCATCAGCACTAGGACCACAGCCGTCACTGCGAACGACGACCGCCGAAGCGCCATGGCGAGTCTCGAACTAGCTCCCGATGCGCTCTAGACTCGGTCTTGATCTAGTGGCGGGCTCCGAACTCGGACTCGCACTCCAGACCCGACTCAGACTTTTCTGAGGCACGTGTGCCGCCACCTGTGTGTGATGAACAGTGGCGCAGCCACGCGCCACGTAATCCGGTCTGGTGGCGACGGCTCCAGCCTGACTGGTTATATGCTGCTGGACGCAGCGGGCTCGGCCAATCGCGTGCCGTCTCGCGGTCACGTGTGCCGAGGCCCGGTCGCGTCCTGGAAGCAGATCAGGACATCCGGCGATGCCTGAGGACGGGGCGTAAAGTACTGTAGATGGCTGTAACCGGTTACAGCTTAACATTTAGGCGTAGTCGTCATTCAGAAAGGGCAGCACCCGACCGTATGCAATTGAACACCGAACTGCCCAGCCTGCTCTCATTACAAATTTATGGGTCGAGCGTGGTGTTGTGTTACCCTTGTTCCCGCATTTCTTCAGCTGAGAGTAGGAGGGAGTGAGCATTAACACGCATACGACACCTAGGCGAAGAGCTTACGAACGAATACCACCTTACTCGCAAAGATAAACCCTCCGGGCGCGCCCTCATGTGTGCATCGCACCACAAGAACCATTTGTTTTCCTACCCTCTAGCTAGTCCAGATGACAGTGAAACGTTGACGTCCCACCGGTGATACAAACGCCCTGTCGCCCCCTCCGCGCGAGGTCCCGCTCTGCCAGGGCCGAGACACTCCTTGCACGCGACACGCGGCGAGGTTTGGCGCCGGCCGGCCGTGCTGCACTGGCCAGGGTCGCCACCCCTTCACCCCTCCTTCGCGTCAGCCCGCCGCCCCGTCCGGTGCTCACTCTGTGGTGCCAGGTGTGAGGGCCTGAAGGTCAGGAACACTGGTCACAGAGACACCGCAATTCTTAGGTTTAACCTCAATACCCAGCCGCAAAGTTGTCGGTTGGAACGAACGAGCTGAAAACAAGGCGAACCCGATGCCGAAATAGTCAGAGAAGAAAGGGGACTAAAAAAGCAAGCGACCAATATTGGGACTAGACCGGTCTTCTGCATCACGGGGCCGTGGAAAACGTTTGAGCCATTTGTAAGTGTATCACTATTTACAATCAGTTGCTAACACTCGGCCGTTCAGCTGGCCTGGCCTGTCTCTAAAGCCTTATTTCTTCCCAGATCTCAGTCATTACATTTTACGCTCCACATCATCAAACTGTTGAACTTCCATGTGGACTTATTCCAAGTCATTTTTGAGAGCCAATGTGCAGCCGCAAATTTGGTAAAAGCTTAGAATTGGTGGTGTAATGAGCAACAAAATATGCAAGTCATTACCTGTCAACCTCTTTAGGTCCATTCCCCCACCCTGATAAGGGACCGAATTACGATTTTCATCCCCAGATGGCCACATCCGCCCTCCCCCCCCCCCGCCCTCATTCACGCTTCGTACTGCATCCTCTTGAGGTTCCGTTTAGCCGGGGAAGGCTGCAAGCACCACCCATTGAGCTTAAACACCCCCTTCCCCCTCCCCATGTCGGAGGCTTCGTCTGAGCGCCGAGCACTTACTTCGAAGAGGGGCCCCTGTGAGGGCTAAGTTTCGACGAAGGACTCTCGATGAGCGCTGTCTTGCCTCAGCATTATCCACTCAACTTCATCTCATACCTCCGGGACAGGTGAAGCTGCATTTCCGCCAGCTGCAAAACTGTGATGTGCACTTCCAGCATGACCCACATGACGATCAGCAGGGGGACTAGATGTCCCACGAACCTCTCAAATCCCTCGAGTTCGGGCGCCCCGGTCAGCGCTCGGCCAGCGACTGACCAGCCCGAAGAGCAGTATGTACGCTTCGCAGCTGTTGACGCTGCGCACAGGGAAGGGACTGATTCTGGAGTCGTTATACTCTGCCTCTCCTCCGAAGTGTGTCACTTCGCGGTGGACCGTGTAATGACCAGAGTAAGCCACGCCAGAAGGGTTGGTCGCGGCGTACAGCTGGCTCTTGCTGGACTGGGCCTCTCGCCTTACCCAGTACGACGGAGTAAGGCGAGAGGCCCAGTCCACCGGCGGAGAAGTTCACAGCGGTGCTGTGTCTCTCTCGGTGCTGTTCCTGAAACGGCGAAGACCACTTCAGGTGCGCCACACAAGGACGTGTGGGAGTGTCCGAAACAGGAAGCTCTTGGAGCACTTCTTATGCTTTCAGCACATGAAGCGCATTGGTTTTTCGTCTGTATCAAGTACCTTCTCCTTGACGCAGCGGTGAAGTAGGCCTGCTATCGCACCCGGTCGTCCTGGACGAGGTCGCCAGATTTAGATCTCAAGACGGGCCAAGCGTTACGGACGCGTGGCCACATACCATGCGCAGCAGCA